CACACAGACCACGGGGACACACACAGGGACACACCACACACAGACCACATGGGAACACACACAGGGACACACCACACACAGACCACACGGGGACACACACAGGGACACGCCACACACAGACCACACGGGGACACACACAGGGACACGCCACACACAGACCACGGGGACACACACAGGGACATACCACACATAGACCACACGGGGACACACACAGGGACACACCGCACACAGACCACACACATGCCACACACAGGGACACACCACACGTAGACCACACAGGGACACACCACACATAGACCACACGGGGACACACAGGGACACGCCACACACAGACCACATGGGGACACACACAGGGACACACCACACACAGACCACAGACGTGCCACACACAGGGACACACCACATGCAGACCACACAGGTGCCACATGCTACACACAGACACATAAACATACTCCACACACCACACACAGAGGGTGCCTCACGGTGTGCCCCCCATGGGCAGTGGACACACACAGAGATGCCCTTACTGGCCCTCTGCCAACTTTATACTGAGACTCAGGATTTGTGCTGTTTCCAGCCTCCCTGGACTGTGCACCCCCCAGAAGTGGGGACCATGCACTCCCTCCACGCAGATGCACACACAGGGCTGTCCTCTCATGCAGGACCTGTGGCTGAGGACCCCCAGACACCTGCCACAGCCCAGGAGCCACTCAGAGCAGCTGTGCAGAGGGGCAGCACATCCTGGAGGGTCCCCTGGGGCCCCCGTCAGCCTGGCTGGGGGACAGCGTCCATGGGCTCTCTTAGTTCATCTAGGCTGTAGGGGAGGCTCTGGGACTGCTGGTGTCACAGCAAGGTGGGTGGTGGCACCACCTGACTGCCAGCTGCTGTGAGACAGCTGTGTCCTTTGCCCCAGGAAGCACCCCGCCTCCCAGCCAGGGGACACCCACCCCTGCTCTCGGGAGCTTTGCCTGTTTCTGACCTCCCCTTCCTGCCAGGGCCATGCAAGCCCCCTGCCAAGACCTGGCTGCTGGCTCTGCAGAGAGTTCTCTTTGTGCCTTTGCCCGGCCCAGGTGGCGACATTTGTGGGACCGGTGACAGCCATCCCTGTGCTCCTCTTCTCGGGGTTCTTCGTCAGCTTTGACACCATCCCCACGTACCTGCAGTGGATGTCCTACATCTCCTACGTCAGGTAAGGGGGGCTTCGGTAGCTCAGGAACCAGGGGCCCCAAAGGGAGGGAACTGCGGCCAGGAGGAGAGGTGCTCTCAAGGGCCACTCCCTGTTGTCTGAGTGAGGGTCACCAACTTGTGGGTACCGATGTCTTTCATGTTTTTCCTAGTTCGGGGTGTCCCCACCCTTATCAACACATACCACACAAAGACCAAGTGCATGCCAGTGACTCACACCCTGCACAAGCTGGGTGTGCCCGTAGTCTGGGTGCTCCCAAAGCTGCCTTCGGTGCTGGCATCTCCACCTGTTAGGAGCTGTGTTCCTCTCCCAAGTGAATGGTGCTTATGATCAGATCCTGATTGCTTGTAAGACCTTAATGAGAGATCCAGTGGGAAACAAGTCATCTTATAAACATCCTAGTATCTTTGAACTAGAATATTCCAGTGCCTTGGGCCCTGTAGCTATGGGATTTCCACCCGCCCCCAGGAGCAGTTCTGGGGTACCCCGGTCACAGGGCCCAGGCCCATTTTCCAAGCCCCCCTACTGCTCCCAGCTGCAGTGAGTCCACTTGACAAAAAGATCCCCAGCTGAGAACAGCTCTTCTTTTCGAGAATGTCAGATCAGACCCAGGTATATTGTTCAGGAAAACAAAATCGGAACAAAGCCGCTGTGCAGAGTTTCAACAATCTGTGTGCCGTCCAACACCAAGAAATCTGAAACTAGGGTCTTTCTTCTCAAAATTGGTGTTTTTGTTCTGACGCTACAGGGCTGGAGCGGGGATGTTTGTGGCAATGCTGTCAAGTCCTTGCAGGCTGGCAGCCCCGTGACTGTATCTAACCCTTAAGAAGTATATAGAACCAGAGGCAGGCGAGGCTTTTCCAGCTCACAGCAGCAATGGATGAAGACCTACCTAACATTCCATTTCGTCTTGGTGGGGGGGGGGGGCTCTGCAGGAAACAAAATGGGGGGAAAACGTAGTCAAACTATTGAAGGTCATTAGGAAGATCAGAGACACACCAAGCTCTCTGAGAGCAAGGGGGGGCGTCCCCGGGCTGGGAGGAGGGGTGCTTCCTGGGGCAAATGGAGTCAAACTATGGAAGGTTGTTCATCTCAGGAGGATGTTGAGTGAAGTTCTTCGGGAAGGGAGGAAAGGCAGATGGAGGGCAGCAGACGCGTGGTCAGCAAGGAGAGTCCCTCCTTCCCTCACCCAGAGGTCTTCCCCCTCAGGTACGGGTTCGAAGGGGTCATCCTGTCCATCTACGGCCTGGACCGGGAGGACCTGCACTGTGACACAGATGAGACGTGCCACTTCCAGAAATCAGAGGCCATCCTGAGGGAGCTGGACGTGGAGAACGCCAAGCTGTACCTGGACTTCATCGTCCTGGGCGTCTTCTTCGTCACATTGCGCCTTGTTGCCTATTTTGTCCTGAGGTACAAAATCCGGGCCGAGAGGTAAAGCAGCCAGACGACAGGCACGAGGAAACGTGGACACTGTGGCCAAGGGCACTTCTGGAGTCGTGGCAGCGAGGCCATGCCCAGGGACACGGGGACTCTTCCAGCCCCGCCCTGGGGAGCACGTCTGACCCGTGGGTGGCTCAGTTTATTTGCCCAGCTGGGTTGGGTCTTCTCATCATATTTTCCTTTCTAGCTTTACCTAGGAAGATGTAGGTAGGTTGGGGGGTTTTTTACATGCAGAATTTAAAATACCACAACTGGGGCAGAGTTTAAAACTGCATCACAGCTGGTGACGAGAAGCTTCCTCAGTAACATTCTTCCTAACGTCCGGGCCCCGGCAGGCCTGGGCGGTGGACCATAAGCGACTCCTCAGCTGATCCCCGGGCCTCGAGGTGTCGCCGGGGAGAAGGGCCACGCGTGGAGGGAGGCCATTCATGACTGTTGCTTTTCATAGTTTCATTTCTAAGGTTCGTCTCTTTTCCACAGAGAAGTCATTTTACAAGCCCAAAGTCTTTAAATTTCATTCATTTTGAGAAATTGTACCTTTTTAAATACTTGTTGAAGAAGGAAATAACATCCTTTGTTTAGAGGTTTAAAGGGTTTACCTGATCACTGACCTGGTTTGCGGTATGAACAGAACTTTCAAAAGATTCAAACCCAGTTTCCAGGTTGAGGGAAGACTTTGGCCCCATCTTCACTGAGCCCCGAAGTAATTTTTAAACATTATGCAAAAAAGTCATAAGATGAAATTGGCTCTTTCAAAGTCTTTTATTTTCCACATGCTTCTTATTTTAAGCAAAATATATTATTTCTTTCTAACTGTCTGACCATTCTAGTTTTGCCTAAGAAATTTCTAGATCAGCCATGTTGGTTTATTAAAACAATTTCCCTTTCTTCCTATATCACATCAACTACCTCCACTGAACCTGGAAAAACTGGGCTTAGGGAAATGTGGGGTGTGACCCCGAGGATGGGGTCTGTGGGTGCAGCCAGCCAGGGGCAGGTGAGCTAAGTGCCCAGGAGGGCAAGATGCCAGCCAGATGGCGCTGGGATTCAAGAGCCTCGCGTGAAGTCAGCAAAGACGTTAGTGCACAGAGGCCTCTGTAATTTTATCAAACATGGAACAGTGCATTTAGAGCTGTGGGCGGCCCCCCGCCGCCCCGCCTGGGTCTGGTTCCTGTGACCTCTCAGCAACACCACCGCCTCCATGCTGGGCTTGTACAGACCTTGGGCACGGGGGGCCCTTGTCTCCTCTGACATAATCACACAAGTAGCATCTCTAGGGCAGGAGTGGTGGGCATATCTGTGGACCAAGTGGCCTTTCAGTTCATGATGAGACTGCCCTTGTCCTTGTCAGCTCTCCCAGGCTGTTTGGCTGAAACGCCAGAGAAGTTCATCTGTAGGAAGGGCAGCTGCCTTCTTCCCGAACGTGGTTATCCTAGAATCAGGCTCTGCCAGTGAGAGATTGCACTTCTGTGGACAAATCCATTAACCTTTCTGAGCCACAGTTTTCTCCTGTAAATAGTTGCACTGATCGTGTTCAAGGCCATGTTCAGCTCTAGAGATTGGGAGATTCCTAGGTTGTGTCCCTGGAGCTCTTATTGCTACTTTTAGGGAATGAAGAGGGTCTGAATATACTCCCCCGTGGATTTAGTTTGCAAATGCTTAGAGACTCCTTTTACATGCCCAGATCTTTTTTTAGTAAACCGCATTGAGATTATATTAAAATGTAATTTTAAGTTTGTTTGTCGTACACACTTAACAACATTGCTTTGCAGATTAAGTTTTTAACCAGGGTCAAACAGCCTTTATAAAAAGTTTTCATTTAATTTCAAAATAGATCTGCCTGTAAGACATTACACGAGGGATGCCTCCCTTTGGAAAAGCCTCATGGAACCCAGAACCAGGGAGAGGACAGAGTCCTCCACAGGGCCTCAGAGTTGCATTGGGGAGGTCAGTGCTGAGAGCACCCTTCTCTTTGGGGGAGCTTCCCTGTTGTGGGTTAGTGTCTTGGGCTCATGACCCTAACAGGGTCATGCCAGGACCTGCACCACATGGGGCCAACATCCTCACCCCAAAGGCAGCACCCGCTCCTTCCCTGAGCACTTATGTGTCCCAGCCATTTCAGAAGGGAGACAGCTCTAGATTTAAAATCTGGTTTCCAAAAGCACCTGAGTCCTCTAAGGAATTATTTTCCTAGGAGTTTGTGCTTCCTGCACTCCACTTCCCACCTTTGACAGATTGCACTTACCCCTATATAGATGAGGAATTGGCTGGGATCCTTTCAAGGGGCAGATCTTGGGGGCTGGGAGGGGGTTAGGCAGCTACAGGGGAATGCATTTGAAAAGTCACATGGGGTTGTTTGTTTCAGGAGTGTTCACTGGAGCAGGGCTGTCACACAGGTGACTTGCTCCCCACATCCCGCAGCTCGCTGCCTCCCTGCGGCAGGACGGGCAGGGCCCCTGCCTGAGTGTTCTCCTGGTAGTATTGGCTCAAATGCTGCTGTTTAGATTCCCAGAGGTTTTCCCTGCTTTCTGTTTTAGGGTAGATGCTAAAATGCCTTATTCTAGTGACCTAAGATGACACCCCAGCAAGTGACCGATCACTTCCCCCACGGTGTGGTGGGGAGGTGCTCGGCCATGCTCTTTCTTCCATGCGCTGCAGTTTGAACCCAGGCCGACTCCTCAGGTCTGACACGTCTAGTAATTTCTGTATGTAGTGACCTACATGTTCCTTTCATCTCTGATGGAGTTTCTTCATTTAAAGGAAGGAATCAGGCTTAGATAAAAGCCGCCCTGTTGTTAGAGGTGGAAACAGAGACGCCCAGAGGGTGGCGCTCTGCAGCGAGGCTGTCAGGATGCTCTGAGGGCCACACAGAGCTGCGAGGCTGTCAGGACGCTCCGAGGGCCACACAGGGCTGCAAGGCTGTCAGGACGCTCCACTCCAAGGGCCACACAGGGCTCTGAGCACTTTGTGCCTTCCTTTCTTCTCTCACTGAATTTCAACTAGAGAATTAAATTCTCCCAAAGTTCCTGGCCAGTGACATGGGAAGCCACCCCAGGACAGGAGTAGCCAAGAGAGCATATTACACAGTGGACAAATTGCTCAAATGGATGATGTCATCTTGGGGGCGGGGCCTTCCCAACCAGGAAATGGGGCATCAGCTTTTAGGTGAAAATCATCTTAGAGTTTTAGGTTAGGGACAGATCACATCCACGAGGCTGAAATCCTGTGAATTGTTCCCGTGGGAAGGGAAATGTGATGGTCCCGCTGCGGCTGGTGCCTTAGGACCCTCTGTTCATTTGCTCAGTGACAAACCCCGCTGGCTTGTACACTGGCCTGGTGCTGGCACAGCCCTGGAGGACTCTCCCGGGCCTGCCCTCAGGTGTGACGGGTGGGGACTGTGTGGCCACTCTGCTCAGCTCTGCCCACTGTGCAGATGTGGAGGCTGAGGCTGGAGACGCCAGAGCCAAGGAATGGAGGGGCTGGACTTCCAGCCCAGGGCTGCCCCAAAGCCCCTATTATTTAGTTCTGCCGAGCTGCCTTCTGTTCCCAGCCTCCAGATGGACCTGGAAATGCTTTGTGAGGCACAAAGTGAAGAGTAGGTTAGAGGCTACCAGTTATTTGTCCTGTCACCAGACAGATGGCTGAGTTGAGAGGGTGGCCTGTGTCCCTCGCCCCTCAGTAGCTATACGTCTGAGTGCCTATAAGGGGGTATCGCTAGCTGGCCTGGGAACTGGCCCTACAGCTAGTCTCAGGGGAGGGGGCTCCCTCACCTGGCCCTGGCTTCACAGCACGTGCTCCTGTGTGCTAGCGGATGTGTGTGCCTCCCTACACCCACTCCCACGTGCACACGCATACGCTCCCAGTGTGTCTAATAGTATTATTCTGTGGCACACCCTCCATCTCCGTCACCACCAGCCTCTGAATCCCCAGTCATTCTTTACTCCAAGAAGCAAAGACAAATCTCTCATTTCCCATGTGTGGTGCAGACAGTGAAGGTGGAGTGAGGGCACGGAGGCTAAAGGAGGCACAGCAGAGTGCGGGGCAGACAGGCCGGCTGCACAGGGAGGGCGGCGTGTGTGTGTAAAGTCAGACACTTTTAAGGAATAAAGACTGCTAATAAAATATTTTATATAAAACTTTTTACTTGTATTCAGTGTCAAATACTTCAAGTGGCTTGCTTGAATTTTCCTCAGTCAACTGACTTTTAGATTGTATCTGGAGCCCACCTACTGTGCATCTCGTACAGTCCCGGTTTGTCATTAATACTGAGCACTCCTCCCTGTCACCGCGCTGTAAGTGACCACCTTTCTCTCCCAAGGATGTTCACGTCCATGCTGAACTGTCTTAGAGTTTCGTGTGTGTCCCCCTCCTCCGCACTCCTCACCCGATCCTCTGACGTGACCTTAGGAGGTGTCCAGACAAGGCCTACTTGCCGGCCTTCCCTTTGATCCCCCCAGCTCTGCAGGGGCCTCCCTCCCCCAGTTCTGGGCAGTGGCTCCAACAGAGGTACGTCCCTTATCTTTTTACAGTTTTTCTGCTGAGGCTGCTGTAGTGGGAAGAGTAGCCAGTCACGAGGTTCTGGGTCCCAAAGTCGACGTGAGCAGGACCAAGGAGGCACTTGGCCTCACGTGCTCCATCAGCTCACTAGCTCTCCAGGCTCCAGCAGGAAATCCACTCAGAGCAAGGACTTGCAAGGGCCAGTGGCAGTGTAGGGCTGGGCTTTCAAAGTGGGCTTCCCTCCCACCTCTCCAACCTAGAGCAGAGAGCTGGACTGGGCAAGGGCACAGAATCTACCTGCAGATGGCTCCTGCCGCCATCCTGTGGCAGGGGTGCAATCAGAGGGGGCCTCGGGTGTCAACATGAGCTTCTGACAGTGCACCTCACTCCCCACTCCCCACCCATCCAGCCCCCGGGGTCCATGGCATGGCAGCCATTGTCTTTCTGGGCTGCTGGCTTGGCCTCTCCTGTCAGCGAGATTCCTCTGAGGTAATGGCCCCCTGCAAGGACGGATGCTGCTGAGGCCCACATTGGGGCTAATGTTCTGAGGGAATCCTCCTAAGACCAGAAGCAAGGAAGAGATGGGGAACTCTGCACCCCCATTGCTCAATCTAATTTTCATCTGCCAGCTTACTGCAGGCTGTCCTTAAAATCCAAGCCTGAGGGACAGTGTGGAAAGGGGACACTGCACACACACTCACCTGCCTGTGGCGGTCTGAATTTCATAATCATATTCCACATCCTTCCCTCGTCTGTCTTCATCTTTGGGGAGACAGACGGGTTTCAACCCAACTGTTGTTTTGTGTTCCCTCTGAACATGGCAGCTTGGCGTCACTCCACGCACAGGCATGCTGTGGCCTGCCGCAGGGGAACCAGGTCAGCCAGCGATGCTTGCTTGGTGAGGTGAATGTGAGTGACACCTGTGTGCGGTGGCCAGGGTTAGGAACCTTGCCACCTCCATGTTCTTGGAAATAGTCCCCTGGAGTCAAAAAACAGAGAAGGACCCGTCACACTGGCACCGCATTCTGGCCCGGCTGGGGACTGCTGCTGGCAAGGCAGATGCTGTGGGGACCCAGCTTGTAGAATGAACCATTGTAACCCCAAGAACGAAGGAACAGAAGCACATGAGCATCTAGTTCTGCCGTGGACACAGGCAGGGCCTCTGCAGGCCTGGGCTCGGCATGGTGAGGGTATGTGGTTCCTCAGGGCTCTTCCACAGCTGCCCCCTTTCCTGGGAAGCTGCCCACAGCCACGTTCATGTCCAAGTGGAGAACACAGCCACAGGCACAGGGGGCTTGTTCCACTGGGGCTCCGGGGTTGG